AAAGAGGATTAACTTCCTAATTCTGTTGTGAGCCTTGTGAGAGCAGGAGGCTGCGGAAGAGGAACAGAGCAAGGGAGAAGCCGAGGCATCAGCTCAGCCCTTATGAGACCCTGGAGAATCTTCTCCATGGGTTAGCTGACCAGCAACAGGGATTCTGGGGTGCCCATGCTGGCATGGGCCGGAGGACAGTGCCAGGGCAGTTTTGGGGACCAGAATAGTTACAACTTTCCTTCCTGGAGGGGTTTCTGCGATGCCTGAAGAGGAGTTGAATGCCTGCTCTCTCCTCCATGTAACTGCGTTTAGGAAGCCCCAGCCCTGAGAGCACCAGCCCCCAGCATCCCCCTGAGCCCCTGCGTGTCCCCAGCTGGGCACTGAGGGCCTTTTGGGGACAGTGAGGGAGCGCAGCCGGGACGAGGGCTTTGCTTGGGCTAGAGATCATGTTTTCTGCATGTGGCTGTGCAGGCAGATGCTCTGGCTTCCCACTGAAAGCTCTCCCGCAGTCCTGGGACACCACTTTCTGTTGCGCGTGCGCGCGCGCACACACACACACACACAGAGAGTAAATTGCGTCTTTTTGATAATTAATGCCAATCATCCCCCTGGTTGTTCGGACAGACGGAGCCGCCTGGCGTCTGCACAAAGAAACGACAAGCCCACGTCCAGCCCCAGCCAGCCGGACACCCGCCCGCCGCCGCATTTCATCCCCACAACCTCCTGCTCCTGCTCTCAGCAAACAATCACAGCCCTCGGCCAAAATCTCCCCGTGCTGACGGTGGTCTGGAGCAGTTTGGGGCCTGCTGGGACCCTCAGGGCTGGAATGCTCTGGTGTCCGACGTGGACCTGAGCTACAGGGTTTGTTTGCACCACAACAATTAACCTCCACGGACGCCGTGGCCATCCATGTCCCCCTGACCCTGTCTCCAGCCACGGAGGTGTGATCTAGACGGGGAAATATTTTCAATGGATGGGTTTGGTTTTTCTTCCACAAGTCTGTGACTAGGGAGCAGTGACATCGGCTCATCCCATGGGATCTCCCGCTGGCTCCCTGCACGCATGCATAGTGTCAGGCGGGTGCTGTGCCCATCTCCCTGGGCACAGGGACTGGCAGAGACCCGGGGCTTGTGCGTTTCTTGTGGACACTCAAGCAAGAGCTGCTGTCCCTGGGCCAGGGGAGGAAAAGCCCCAAGAGGAGAAGTTCACCGCTAACACCTGCAAGTAACGTGCTCCAGGAAAGCCTGAACTGGACCCAAACTCTCTTCCCCCTGGTCCATCGCCAGCGCCAGCAGCCAGACCATGCCCCCGTCCTTGAACCCTGCAGCTCCCGGTGTCGGCGTGGGCAAGGGCTCTGCCAGGGCCCTGCCACGACACAGGCATCTCCTGGGGTCCAGGGGTGGCTGTCAAACAGGTTGTGACAGAGCCACGGTCCTGGAAAGGTGAATGGGAGCCCCAGGGCCAGGCTGTGTTTGTTTATCCTGGTGATGGAGCAAACAGCAAAACAAAAGGTCAGACCCTGTTGCCCTGGGAGATGGTTTTTGAAGCTGCCTACCGTCCTGCTGGGGCTCGGATGGAGCAGCCCCCGCGCTTGTCATGTCAAGTTATTTTTGTAATTTTGGCTGGTAATAGGTCTGAAGCAGCCTCCCAGATGCTGTGAGCTTTGGGGATACACTGATACAGGACCAGAAGCGCCCTAAACACACCGAGAGAGGAGCACCCAGCCCCAGCGCTTCGGAGGCAGATCCCTGTCCCACAGCTCCTGCAGCCAGCCGGACCCCAACCCGTGTCCTTCATCCGAAGGGCCAGGCACACACGGCTCCTCCAAGCATCCCGAAAGCTGGGGGGCGTCTGATCCGAACTTCATTTGCCTTTGGCCGACCTGAGTAATGAACAGACGCAAACTTCTTCAAGCCTTGGCCAGGTTTAAGGCGGATGCTTTGAGCTCACTGCAGGCAAGGGTGGACTGAGCACTGTCAGCAAGCACTGCCAGGGAGGGAGGGCAGGCAGGCTCGGACCGGCCCCTTGCTGGCTGCTCCTGGCTGACTCTGCTTTTACTCCTGACCCTCTTTGCTTGAGCTGAACCGATAAATGCCACCGTCAACTCCAAACACGGCCTTGCCCAGCTGGGGGGAGCCAGGGTTGAGCGGCGCGGAGGTGGAGAGCGGGGCTGTTCCCAGGAGTCCCAGCTGATCTGCCTCTTCCATCGCTGGACCTCAAAACCCGACATGGCAAAAATCACCAGTCTCCTTTCTGCGAGTGGGGAGACTGAGGCACGCAACCACACAGTGCCCAGGCTGGGAGCACACAGGGAGCCAGCAAAGAAGCAGCTAGACGAGCCAGGAGCCCTGATTCAAGGTATCCCTGTCCCACCCCAGCAGCTGCATCTCACGCTAAGGGTCAGGTGCAGCTTACCAGTGCCTTTGCCTCTACATAAAAGCCTCAAATTGTCCCTACAGCTGGGTACCATGGGGCTTCTCCTCCCTCTAGCAGGTAGATGGGACATAGCGTGATCCTGGAGGAAAGGCACCTTCTCTCTAGGCATGAAACCAGCGGGGAATAAAAACTGCGTATATCAGCCCTTGTCTCGCTGCTTCTGGTTGTCAGCACAGGAGCTTTTGTGTTTACCCAGACTCAAGGGCAATCGCCCGTCACTAACAACACAATATCCCTCAGCCCCGCTGCCCTGAGCCTGGCGAGGAAGCAGGACGGAGCCGGTGGGAGGGCGGCGCTGCCAGGGAAGGACGAGCAGCCCCCCAGGAGATCGGGACAGAGGTACAAGATCTGTTGAGCTGGGCTCGTGGTCACACATGTGGTCGTTGGCCTGGGCTGTGCTGGGGACAGCATCGGGGCCCTCTTTCTGGGCTTAGACCTATGATTGAGCAGCTCAGGCTTGGCTCAGGACACACCGTCAAGGGTCTGATGGCAGCTTTGGGTGCCCGGTGCCTGGGAAAGGAGGTGGACACTCCTGGTGCTGGGTGTGTGGTGGCTGGCACGTCTGCTCCCTGGTGGTGACTCAGTTTCCCCATCTGTAAAATCGGGTTTCTTGGATTTTGAACTCTGCCCAGCTCTGAAGGAGGACCCTGACAAGCAGTCATGGGGCGGGGGGCGGCGGAGGGCTTGCTTCCACCGAGCGGGTCTCTGCTGCCAGAGTCACAAAGCACAACCACTTCGGGGAAGAAGGTGGCAAAGCTGTTCCCAGGCCCCAGAACCAGCAGAAATTGGATTCCCTCCGGATTCACACTCATCCTCACAATCACATATTTGCATCTGACAGCTCTGCAAGTATTCAGGGGATGATTTTTAGACAATTGTGGTATTTGCACACGGGAAGGACAATTTGCACCCAGTATGCCTTAGCCCAGCACAGCTTCCTTCAGCTGCGGTCTGGGGAAGCGTTACTTTTGCAGGCAGTACAGAGCACATGATACCAGGCAATCATGAGACACAGGGCGATAAAGGTGGAACGGTGGCTTGCAAACAACTCAGAACAGCCAAGTGTGTCCATTATAATATTAATTATAATCACATTTAAAGCAAAGTTAACTTCTGCCTCTCCAGGAACTTTAATGAGGCCGCATTTACCTTAACATTTCTCTTACCAGCTCCTGGCTGTGTGTGCTACGAGCCGTGCTCCAGCCAGCCCCTGGAGAGCACACAGCAGAGCCGGGCTGTCATTTCTGCCCTTTGGGGGACTCATTCCTTACGGTTTTAAAACAGAGGGACAGGGGGCAAAAGAGAAATTGTGGTTCTCATGGTGGCTCTTGTGTCTGAAAAAGCTGTGTAGGTTGAACGTGTCCTTCAAAGCAGTACCTCCCTTCTTCTTCCTGACAAGTTGTTGGCTGTTTCAGGAATAACTTAATTTATTTGGATGGGAAGGGGGCTGCCCTTAGCAAAGACACGCGCTGGCCACGTGTGCCATCTGACCCATGTGAGAGTGGAGCCATCCTCAGTGTCTCGAGTGTTAGCATGGACTGAGCACGGTTTGGAGAGATGAGGCTTACAGACAACAGGGTTAAGAAGTGTTAAAGGCCTGAGAGAAGCCACTAATCTCAGGAACCGGAGAAGTGGAGATCCCATTCAGTGTGCTCACACACAGGGCTCTCCTTTACACGTAAATCCTCAGGCCAGATCTGGCACCAGCCAAGCTGTCATTGTAGCCGATGGACCTTTTTGGCTGGTTCCTCCAGCTGCAGATCCAGCTCGCTGACTCTTTCATTTTTGTGCCATGGTCTCTGTTTGTCTTTATATCCTGAGCACGTAATTAGCTGGCAGGGCTATGATCTGGTCTCTGCTGCATCGGAGTGAATCCAGACTAGCACCAACACCTTGACCCTGGGTAGACAGCAAGCACCTGAGCTCAGAGCACGTCCCCAGAGATGGCATCAGGCAGGGACAGTAACGGTCCTGCTGCTTTCCCCAAACAGGGACGAGAGATTTGTCATGGACGACACTCTGGAGACCAGCCAGCAAAAGGAGAAGCTTCTGAAAACCATCTACACCCTCCAGCTGAAGTCAATCGCCACACTCCAGACAGCCAGCCCGCTACTGAGCAGCCAGCGTGGCATGGGCATGGTGACACAGCACCAAGTCCACCAGCTGGCAGATAAGGCCAAAAGCCTGTGCGGAGATCTGGACAACATTAAGAACCTCCTCCACTATTGCCAGGACAACCTGGTCCGGCGGATCCCCAACCCCACCGGCAGCCGCTATGGGGGAGTAAGTGGAATCCATTGCTCCCTGGATGGCTCCATCTATGTGACAGCCGAGAGTGCTCCCTGGGTCCACGTCCTCAGCAGCACAGGCCAAACGCTGCAGTCCCTGCCCTGCCAGCCAATGGGGAAGGAAAGCGGCACTTTCTTGCCAGAAGATGTGACTGTGACTCGGACGGGAATGGTGGCTGTAGCCGACATGATGAATGGAGCCATCTGGGTCTTCAACCCTCACACCAGCCTCTCCAAGTAAAGATCAGAAAGGTTGGTTCCCCCCGGAGTATTGGAGTAGACTCCATGGGCAAGATCTTGGTAGCAGACTATGCACAAGGCCAAGTCCACAGCTTTGCCCTGGACCATGCCTTCAAGACACTTAATATCCACTCAGTCCCCAACCTGCAGGGACCTCGCTACGTCAGTCCAGCGCCCAACGGAGGCTTTGTGGTAAGCGAGGAGTGTGGAGACGTCAAGGTCTTCACGAGCAGCCGTAAGCTCCTCTGCTCCCTCAGCAGCAAATACGGACACCGGTTTGGCAACCCAGCTGGGGTCTGCGTTGACGTGGATGGCAGCATCCTGGTGGCAGACGAGCAGCGCCGTACAGTCCACTTGTTCCCAGAGCATGGGGCTCCCGTCTGCCTGGTGTCCGCAGGGCTGCAGAGGCCAAACGGCGTGGCTTGCTCCTCCTTCGGGCACCTCTTTGTGGCAGACGCAGGGGAGAACTGTGTCAAAGTTTTTAAGTACTGCGTGAGACCCCCTTAGAGCCCCGCCAACCCTGGGGCACCATGTGGTGACCCCAGCCTAACACCCAGGCAGGGAGAGGGGTTGGTTCCACTGCAACCCCGCTGAGCTTTGGGTCAGCTGGTGGGCTGTGAGCTCCACTGCTCCCAAAGCTGGGCATCGTCCCCATACTTGACTGCCTTATTGCCCTCCAGCTTCACCAGATAGCAGAAGCAAGGACTAGACCAGCTCTGAGTTTCTCGGACCCACCAGAGTAGCTAAAGGAGGACCGAGCTACTCAGAATTGGCCACGCATTGGTGCCTTGGCAAACTTGTTATCACCATGCCCTCGAATCCTCGTGTGTTTTTGCAAAGATAATAGAAATATTTCTCTTCCCTGCACACCGTTTTTATGTGGCCATGGTTCCACCTTCCTGATGCCAGAGCATGGCTGGAGGGGTAAGGCCAGGCCGGAGCTGGCAGCCATGGTCTCTCTGGCACGCTGGGTTTGCAGCAGACTTCAGGAGAACGGTAAGATGAAGGTAACTCATTCTGTGCTGCATTCCTGACCTCTATAGGGAAGCAACAACTACTGCATAGAGTAAATTGCATATAGGCATGTAGAACTGCTCACACCAACGAGCCTGCCCTGCCGTCCTGTCCTCCCCCTGGAGAGGAGGGCTCAGGGAGCCGCAGCCGCTGCCTTTATCAGCAGAGGCCAGGGGCTAAACAAGCACTACAGCCGCGGGGAGCCGCAGCCGCTGCCTTTATCAGCAGAGGCCAGGGGAAAGCGGGCAGGGTGTGGTGGCAGAGGGAAGGACGTTTTCCTCTTCCCCCCTCCAACCCTCAGCACGGGCATGGTGCTACACAACTCCTCGGCCTCTGCCGATGTCTGAGACCCGAGTCCAGTCACCACCTCTCACCCCAAACGAACCCCAGAGAGGACCCTTTCTCCTTCCTGGCCCTGGAACATAGAATCATAGAATCATTAAGGTTGGAAAAGACCTCTAAGATCATCGAGTCCAACCGTCAACCCAACACCACCATGCCCACTAAACCATGTCCCTAAGTGCCTCATCTACGCGTCTTTTAAATACTTCCAGGGATGGTGACTCAACCACAAGAAATTTTGCATATAGGCATGTAGAACTGCTCACACCAACGAGCCTGCCCTGCCGTCCTGTCCTCCCCCTGGAGAGGAGGGCTCAGGGAGCCGCAGCCGCTGCCTTTATCAGCAGAGGCCAGGGGCTAAACAAGCACTACAGACAACGGACACCCTGCGGTGCCCTCCCAGTCCCCCTCTCCCTGCAGAGCGAGGCACCCCCCCGGAGCGAGCCCAGCAGCAGGGAGGGAGGCTGCGTGGTTTGCAGGAACAGGGATAAGCCTGTCCCATCCCATCCCCTCCCTTCACATGGGCTCCCAGAAAACCAATCTTCGCCCACCTTATTTCCAATTCTGTGGCACCCAACAAAACCAAACAAAACAAAACAAAAAACCCAAACCCTTTTCTCTAGCCCACCCCTGTGGGGCCTGCACCCCCCTCCTCTGCACCC